CCCAGATACTCCACGCCTCTCGCCTGCATTTCGCGCACTCGACGCGCACGATCTCCGCAGAGGGTTGCGCGGGCACCCGCCACATCGCACTCTCGCCTGCATTTCGCGCACTCGACACTCGACACGCACGATCTCCGCAGAGGGTTGCGCGCACAGCCGGCAAATCGCACTCTCGCCTGCATTTCGCGCACTCGACACGCACGATCTCCGCAGAGGGTTGCGCGCGCAGCCAGCAAATCGCACTCTCGCCTGCATTTCGCGCACTCGACACGCACGATCTCCGCAGAGGGTTGCGCGGGCACCCGGCAAATCGCACTCTCGCCTGCATTTCGCGCACTCGACACGCACGATCTCCGCAGAGGGTTGCGCGCGCAGCCAGCAAATCGCACTCTCGCCTGCATTTCGCTCACTCGACACGCACGATCTCCGCAGAGGGTTGCGCGGGCACCCGGCAAATCGCACTCTCGCCTGCATTTCGCGCACTCGACACGCACGATCTCCGCAGAGGGTTGCGCGCGCAGCCGGCAAATCGCACTCTCGCCTGCATTTCGCGCACTCGACACGCACGATCTCCGCAGAGGGTTGCGCGCACACCCGGCAAATCGCACTCTCGCCTGCATTTCGCGCACTCGACACGCACGATCTCCGCAGAGGGTTGCACACTTTCGGTTGACGCTGTTCGTCCCGCCCTCCGCCTTTAAGAGAGAATTTATAAAGTGGGGAAATGTTTTTTCATTAGGACATCTCCCGTGCTAGTTTTCCATACTCACACTTGCCTACTCATTGCATGCTTGCATGCTCATTGCATGCTTGCGTACCTACTCATTGCATGCTTGCATGCTCATTGCATGCTTGCGTACCCATCACTTGCTTACTTACACTGCGTGCTTGCCGAGTGTCAGTGTGTATGTGTAAGTGTCAGTGTCGAAGTGTCAGTGTATGTAGTGCGAATGTGGTGGAAGTGTCAGTGTGTAAGTGTAAGTGTCGAAGTGTCAGTGTTCAAGGGATTTTCCGGAAGAACCCTTCGCAATGCTTTCGGGAAAAAGTTGAAATGAAATTATTTTGTCTTCCCCGCGGTTCCCCGCGGATCCCTGCGCTTCTCCGCGGACAGCCAGCCTATTTTGTAATCAATTAATAGGCTTTTAAGCAGTGGTCAACTGTAACATTGGCGGGGATCCGCGGGGAACCGCGGGGATCCGCAGCAGGCATGCTGGAGCAGCTATTGGCCAAGTATTTGCCACAAAGAGAACCTGCAATCGCATTCCTCAATGAAGGGAGCAGATTGCAAGCCACTGCTGGTGTCTCCACAAATGCCAAGTCCTCTTCCCAAGCATTGGTTGTGGCTTCACAAAATAAAGAAGCTGCAAACTTGGCAGCTGCAGTCCCTGCAACCCTTCCCATGGCTGATAGCCCAGTGAATGAAGATGCCAAAGATCCAGAAGCAAAGAAGAAACCAGCTGCAGTGGCCAAGTCCTTGGAAGAATTTGAAGAAGAAGCATTTCACACAATGCAAACCAAAAGAAAAGGTGGAATGAAAAAACCAAGTGCTTGCAAGCCTCCCAAGAGGCAAGCTCCCAAGCCAAAGGCAGCACCTCATGCAGCTGCCAAGACCAAGGGAGCAGCCAAGCCAAAGGACGTTGAAAACAACACCAAAGACCAATGTCCCAAACCTGCTGCCCAAGGGCCATATGGCTGCATTCGCTGCAGAGGGAATGTCAATGGGTGCCAGACTTGTTGGCAACCAGGCTTTGCTGGTGTGAGACTACCAGGGAGGGGTCCATGGCGAGAACACTAGGCCCAGAAAAAAGCATCCTGAAGACCTGAACTAAAGCAGGTCCATGGGAGTGCCACTGCCATGGGTAAGAGATGACAGTGTCCAGCACACTGTGGCTTCAGGGGGGCAAGGTCAACCCATGTCTATAGGATGCCAAGCTGGATGGTTCTGAAAAGAAAGAGGCGACCAATTTTTATATATACAGAGCCCCATGGCTATATATAAACATATATTTAAGTAGAGTTCAACCAAACATATAGAGCCCCATGGCTATGGAGTATCCAACATCCATCTCCACTCTGCAAAGAGAGAGCCTCTTGGCTGTTTGAAATTGTGCCATGCTTGCCAGCAGCCATTGCTTATGTCCTTGAGCTTTGTCATCAAGGTGCACAGGATAAGAAGCTCAGAGTGCCATGTTCCTTGGATGCCACCCAATGTACTTAACAGCTGCAATGTGTTTCTATCTCATGCCATCTAAATAGCCATGGCTAGCCACAGACCTGCCAAAAAGGCAAAGCTTGCCAAGCTGCTGCCCTTTCAAAGCAACTTGCCATTCCATAGCCAATCAGTGCTGGACATAGTTGAGAAGGCCAAATCAGAAGGACTTCCAGAATTATATTCAAGTACCCATCAAAGGGAAGCCAGGCTAGATCTCCTTCAAGATTGTCATGGAGGACTGCTTGGACCATTGATTCAGGAAGCCAAGTTGGAAACCAAGGATGGCAACTCCTGCACCATGTATTATGCCAATTTCTTGGTGTATCTGGCCAACTTATACCATATGGATTCATCTTTTACAAAGCTGATCCAGAGAAGACATGCCCAAAGACCTAGCTCCCCATCTGCACCATGGGGCCTGGTACTTTACACAGATGAGATAGTACCAGGCAATGTGCTTGGCAGGGCTGCTCGCAAGTGTTGGACCATATATGCCACATTTGATGCCTTCCAGACAGACATGTCCAGTGAGGCAGCATGGTTGACCTTATGCACACAAAGATCCACATTTGTATCCACACTCGATGGGGGAATCTCCCAGATGATGAACATCATCCTCCAATCCATCTTTGATTCTCCTCTGGTTGATACAATTTGCGGATTCCAATTGAAAAGCCCATCTGGAGATTTGAGAATCCATTTCACATGGTCCATGATGCTATGTGATGGGGCTGCACACAAAATGGTCTGGACCTCCAAAGGAGATGCAGGCCAGAAGTTCTGCTCATTATGTGCCAACGTTCGAGGCATGCCAGCTTCCAAAGAGGAGGAAGAACCAGATGAAATGTACTCCAGTGCCATGCAGTATAAGGACCTGGTTCTTGTGCAAGATGCTGATGTACTAGCCAGCTACCAGAGGTTGGATGCCAGACAAAAATCCTGCAGCAAGTTCCAGGATTGTGAAAAGGCCAGTGGCCTCAGCTGGTCCAAGCATTCCATCCTCCTGAACACCAGGCTGATCCAAAAGAACCTCTGCAAACCAGTATCTCAGTTTGTGCATGATTATATGCATGGGATTCTACAGGGTACAGCACCCATTGTCTTGTGGCAGACCATGAATGCCACCCAGGCCTGTGGCTTACAAGTATGGCCATGCTTGGAGCAATACCTCAATTTCTTCCAATTTCCAAAGGCTTGGAGACGCCAACATCTACCCAGTTTGTTCCAAGCGACAAGAGTTGCCAAGTACAACAAGAACCACAAGTTTTCCTGCATGGCCAGTGAATGCTTGTCTGTCTTCCCAGCCATCAGACATTTCTTGCATTCCATAGTTGTGCCCAAAGAGATTTGCCAGGATGCTTGCCAAGCTTTTGTGGCAATGGCTGAAACTATCGACCAGATCCACGCAGGGGTTTGCTGGGGGGCCACATCCAGAGCTTCTCTTCTCCACATCATAGAAGAATCTTTGGCCACTTTCCACAAAGCATTTCCATCTGTTGGCATGATCAGAAAGTGGCATTGGATGCTCCACTTGCCAGATTCTCTGCAAAGATATGGCCAACTGCCCAATTGCTTTGCCTGTGAGAGGAAGCATAAGGCCATCAGTGCACTGGCCACAAAATTAAAAAGGACAATGACATATGAACGCCATATGATGGAGCAAGTTTTGGCCACTGAGATCACCATGCTCAGGGAGCCAGACCAATTTCCAGAAGGAACCCAAATCATCCAACCCAAGGAAGCCAATAGCAAGCAAACAGCAGCATTGAGCCAATTCATTTCCCCACCCTGCCCTGAGGCCAAAGTATCTTCAGTGGCCAGGCTTGAAAGGGGAGGCTATTGCCATGCTCAAGATGCCATTGTCTATGCAGATGGTAGTGGTTGGAAAGTGGCCCAGGTGCTGTTCCATGTGGTTCTTCATGGCATGCATTGTACCTTTGTCCAGCCCTGGTGCCTCCAGAAATGCCACTTAGAGAAGCAACATGCCAAGTTCAGGCCATCAGACTTGCAAGGACTGATTCTTCTTCAGTCCATTTTATATCCAGTGGTTTTCTGCAAGGACAAAGATGAAGCCACAGTGCTCTTACCTTACCAAATCTACAGCCAGAGGTGAAAAAAACAGAGCTTGGTCTTGAAATCATGGGAGCCTTGGGTGGCTATCATAGATCCAATATAGCTGGTGAGCCTATATGGCTATCATTATACTTTGAAAATTGCATAGTTTAGCTTCACACAGTCCACATTTACCACTTTTCCACATCACCACCTGCACCATGTTTTTTAATTTGAAGCCTTAATTTTTTAGAGTTATAACTAGTTAGCAATTATGTTAACTAGTTATAACTTTTTAGCTAACTCATGTTAACTAAGTTAACTAGTTATAACAAAACCAGGGTTTTAAGTTAGCTCGATCAACAAACATTGCAGCAAAGAAACCCTCAAAACCGCACGCAACTATTTTTAAACAGAGTGGAATGAGCCTCCCTGCAGCCCTCACTGCAGGGGCGCTTCAGGGTGAGGTCTCTCGCCCAAGAGCGTCTCGGGTCCGTGCCTTGTATATAATGGGCGCGGCCCACTTGCAAACCAGGCTTTCTTGGGAGGGGTGGGTTGGGAGACAAGAAAGCGCGCCAACCCGGGACCTTGAGACCTCGAGCCTACAATGTAATCAAACCCCGTCACGACAAGTCATGAATGGGTTCGATCAACAAACATTGCATCAAAGAAACCCTCAAAGCCGCTGCAGCCCTGACCCCACAGGCGCCCCAGGGTCAGGTCACTCCATTCTCCGTCAGGAGGCCCAATTCCCAAAGAATTTGTGAACTTTGTGCTTCTTCTTTCTATTCTCTGCCCGCTTCATCTCCTTGTGGGCTTTGATCTCCTCGGACAGAACGCGGCTGTTCTCCATCAGCTCATCTAGGACCAGCCATCCCATGTCTTCTTCACTGACTGCTTCTCTAAGGTTCATGTCGAATGCGTCGAAGTTCAGATTCGTCAAGGCGTCCGCCAGGTCATTCTCCTCTCTAGGTACCCACGTGAGCGTCACGAAGGAATCTTTGACCCTGAGCGTTTCTGCCAGCTCAATCAACAGGAGGGTAACCGGGAATTTTGCAGACAATGAATGCGTTTCCACGGTTGTCCGTGAAGGCTTCGGCCATCACTTCATGCCCACTCGGAGACGAGCCCCCCACGCTGCTCAGCCCACTTAAAGGGAGCTCCCATTGCCGCCATCACCACAAACGACTGAACACTGCCAATCCCCCCCTCACGCTTGCATCCAAGGACCTCCAGGTCATCCGCATACAGAGGAGCATGTCGCACCTGAACGGAGGGCCCACTACCCTATGGATCAGCCTCATCAAGGTTGCGCTCAACCTGCCCCATCAGTATGGCATGGATGCCACTCCAAACGTCCCTATACCTTGTTGCCTTGCAGGCGGCTATAGAAACTCCCACTTGGTGGTTAAATCGCCGGTGGGCCTTGGCAAGTCCCCGACCAGCGACAGAGCCACCTGCAGCTCCTCCTCAAACTTTTCCAGTAGCGACCGCTTCTCTCGCGGCCCTCGCGTTCTCTCTCACCTTGTCTCTGCACTTGATCCTGTGGTCGACACGTGCTCCATGAGTTGCATCATGAATGACTCTTCTTTTGCCTGTCAACTGGTCCTCTACGAGCAGGGCGGCCACTGCTCGATCGTCACCGACGGCCTCACCTTCTCCGAAATCTTGAGCATCAGCCCATCTTCGACTTCCTGGTCCAAGTGCTGGTCTATAGGTACTCCAAGTGTTCTTCGGCTGTAACATAGTTCTCCTTCTGCCAGCTCGCCTCCTCCCACGCCTCATTCTCAAGCGACCACTTCACTTGCTTCGAAGATCTCCGGCATCCTGGGAAGAGGGCTCCTCCAGGAACTCGTGATCGGTTCCCAGGCCGCCTCAAGCACACCACGCATCAATTCCATTCAATTCCAGGTAGAAAGGTTGGCCCCTCTTGTCAACTTCTCAGCTAATATACTCTGATCCTCCCCAATAACCTCTCGTCCCTGACCAATTTGAACGTGTCTCCGCCCTTTTACCATGCGGAAAGCCCTCTTTTGGTGCTTAAGGGTGATCTGGAGCTGGTGTTGGATGTATTCGGGACTGCCGACTGGGACGCCTAAGACTTGAAGCCCTTGGCTGTGACGTGGCAGTGCCTGGTTGCCGACCCAACTGTCCGGGCCGCATTCTTGGAGGGAAGGCGGGGGCTCTGCCTGCGGCGTTCCAAACGCGGGCTTTACCGTGGTGCAGGTGTACGTGGGCATGGGTGGACAGCTGGTGCTGCACGATGCGTAGTACATCCCCGACCTGCTGGGAGGGGACAACAAGGTGCGCATCATCCAGGAAAGCGTACAAGGCCTCATTGGGGTGGAGTTGTTGCTGGATGGCGGCCAGGGCGGCATCATGGGGTCGCCTTGTTCTCCCCCTTCTGCTTGGTGGATGGTGAAAGGTGTCCCGGTTTGGTCGCGCCACACGTAGCAGGATGGGTTGGCATAAAACAGTCGGACAAAAGGCAAGCACGGGCACTTGCAGGAGCCCTGTTAGCATGCTGGTGCGGGAGACATGGTCATATGCCCCAACGCCGTCAACCGAAACAATGTTTTGGTCCGGGTCCAACTCCGTGTTTGCTACCAAGGCTTTGACCACCGCCTCCGCCCCCGCTCTAGTCGAGAGAGCGTACTGCCACGGGCGACATGCCCTTTGGAGCTGGCTAGCGAAGAGTTGGACAAGGCTGCGGGATACCAAGCGTCGGAAGAAGTCACGGCCCAACCAGGTGATGACCATCTTCCGGATAACGACGACGAGGCCTCGAATGCCACCCTGTGGTTTTTGCAAGGCGACCGTGCGGACTTGGGCGAAGTGGTATTATGGTTTCATCATCCAAGATGAGACGGAGTGCTTCTGAAGTGAGGCCGGAAGGCCCTGGCGCTGCCCCCTTGCGAGCCCGGCGGAGGTTGCAGGTAAGAATGGCTCGGGGGATGTGGACGGGATGGTTCGGATGGAAGTTGGCGGCTTCTTGGCTGACGGGCTGGTAGGGCTGGTGTGGGCGCCGGTTTGGGTTGCGCAGCTCTTCCAAGGTGGCAGGCGTGCCAGGGGCGAGAGGCTCGGAGAGCAGTGCTTGACGAGCGGCGGACAATTCGCCCATGTGGACCAGGTCCCGTGCCCGGCTGGCTTGCTGCTCTGGGTTGCGGGGGCTGGTGGTAGGCCCCCGATTCCACCGGAAGCTTCTGGGGTGCGTGCAACTCCTCACAGGAAAGGGTCCCTTGTCATTCGCCCACACAGCCCTCGAGAAAGTGGAACAAGGCGGGTTCACAATCAGTGCAAAAATTTGCCTTGGGCTATGTAATTAGTGGAGCCACCGCTTCTGAACTGAAGGGACTGTCATATCCAACTTGCGGTCACGCTGTACATCAACTTCTGTCACTTCAAGTTGGTCTCCACGCTTCTCTGCCAGCTTCCTCAAGAAACTTGCAACTGAATTCTGGCGTCTGCGGCCGCAGAACAGATAAAGGACTTTCAAAGTCCTTCATTTTGACCCCACCGTATCTGGTGGTGGTGCGTCTTCCTGGTTCGTCGGGTTGCACTGGAACATGGCATGCCTCCCACTGTAGCATATTCCGCACACATGGCGATATTTGCATTTCTTGGCCTTGCACTGGCACTTCTCTCCAGGCGTGTTGAAGCGGAAACAAATCGTTTCACCTTCTGGAGTATGTGTCTCACAATGCGGCACGTTCTTCCCCTTCTGCTGCTTCCAATTGCCCTTGGCCTTACCTTTGTCGCCCTTCTCTGCCACTTGTTGGACGGTTGTTCACGCCATGGCGGCAGTGGGCGCTTTGCATAAAGTTCCAGGGGCGTCGTGAAGTTGCGCTCGACAGTCTGGGCACTCCTCTTGCTCTCACCTTGCTGTATGTCACGCATCCCTTGCGCAGAGCTCGATGCTCCATCCCCAGCAACACGTGACTCCAGGTCCCCCATCATAACTGCAGCCTTGACATGTCCCTGTACAAAGCTTGCATGCCGTGCCCTTCGAGGCCCTTCGAGGAAGGCCCATCCAATCCGCCAGTTGGCGTGCCAGCGACTCCTCACTTCCCAAGCTCACTGTCAGCCGCTGACCGTCGAGGCCCAATGCTTTCAGTGCGTTGAGCATGCCTGCAGCTTCTCCAGCATCGGTGGAGGACACGCCACCTTCCATGCCCTACCACAGACAAAAAAGCACGCCAACCCGGAGACCTTGAGACCTTGAGCCTACAATGTAGAGGAATCAAACCCTGTCATGACAAGTCATGAATGGTTATGGAGGATCAGGGGTCTTCCTGGTCTACTACCTTGTTTTTTTTTAAGGATTTATGATTTGTATACATAAAGGATTGAGCAAGGAATTGATGGCTTTGGGAAGCTGTCAGTTTTGAAGAAGAACTAGAGAAACCCATTACATCCATTAAATATCAATATGCTTAGCAAGCCAATCAGTGGCTTAGTAATATGCACATGGCTCACAACAACTCAGATCATGTGTCTAAAAATAAAGAATAAGGATCCCCCCAAGATATTTGCATATATATATATTATAGAGGACCCTTAAAACATTGCTTTCAGACTAACTTTCTTGACAACATTATATATTGACGCAAGCTTGGTGCGCTTAACTAGTTTTGCGCTTTTGGAGCCCTGGGGGTGTGTGGAGGTGGTGCGCGGGGTGGTGCGTGAGGCGGTGCGCAAACAAAACGCCCGGGGTTTGTCCTAAGTTTTGATAGTTTTGTGGTGCGCAGAGTGGTGCGCGGAGTGGTGCGAGGCGGTGCGCACACAAGACATCGGGGGTTTAGCGGTAGAAGTAGAATCCGGTTCCCCGCGGTTCCCCGCGGATTTGCGCGGACACCAATGGCCAATGTTACAGTTGACCACAGTGGTATGGCCCATGCCAGACTGGTTCATCTTTGCATGGCTGTTCTTTGGCATTGGCTGAACATCTGCACTCTGCGCACTGGTGCATCTCATTGGAACCTGTCCAGCAGGGATGAGCTGGTAGTATGATTAGCTTGAGAATTTTTAAAGCATGATACAGCATTCAAACAAGTTTTCCCAACCAATGACTTAAAGAATTTCTGGAAGGACAACAGTGCACCTGCTTCATGAAGATTGCCAGGGTCTCCTCTTTGCCTTCTGGTCTCTCTTGGCCATAGGCTTGTTGAAGCCATTCATCTCCCAACAAGTGGGGGTTGATGGGGTAGGTGCGACAAGCAGGAGTGGAACTCCATGGCATGGCCTTGTGGATGGCTGTGAAGTCAGCTAGCATGGCATGTGCCATCTGTGGAGACATGGTGGGTTTTGCCAGCCTGTGCTGACTGAAAAGCACCAATGCCACAGCCTGTTGCTTGGTGGACTCTTTCAGACTGCACACCCCCATGGCCACAAGGCGCCTGGACAAGAGGTGCAAATGGTCATGCAGGGGCTTGTCAGCCAAAAGCATGGTCCAATCCCCTTGGGTCAAATATGGGCACAAAGACTCTACAGTCTGGCCACAGTTTTGCAATTTCATGTGGCTTCCTGGGTTGCAAGACAAATTCTCTATGGTCTTCACAATCTCAAGCTTGAGGGCATCTTGGCAGGTCAGCTTCTCAGCTGCTTCCAAAAGCTTGACTATGGCCTCACTGGTCCATGTGGTCACTGCAGCAAGTTTGGCACAAAAGGTTTGGCACATAGCTGCCACACAAGGGCTGTCTGGTCTTATGGAGGAGAGCTTCTGCAAATGGTCCATCTCATTGGTAAAGTCCTCCAAAGTCCAGAACTGGGTCATAGCTCTACCACAAGTGGAAGAAAAACTTGAACCAGCTTGGGAGTTTATGTAGTTGGCAGAAAATATACTTGGCCCAAGCATTGCATGGATGTAATATATACATATGCAATTCTATGTATTAGTTGAAACAGCCAAGAGGCTCAACAGAGATTAAACATTAGCTATGGAAACTACTAGCCATGCAGCTCTGGATTTGGATGATAAAACAAATGATTGTTAAAAAAGCAATGATCTTCTCAAACAATGTATACAGCCACATGGCTCTGCTGATGAACTGAAAGTAAATGGAACATGGGGTGCCAAGAGGACTGGTGCCATGGCTGACCACAGGGCTCTTGCTAAAAAGTGAACAGCCACTGGGCTCTTGCAAGACATTAACACCAAAACCTTTTTCCTCCTTACACAGGAAGACTTGTGCTGGTCCACTGTGGAGCCCTCACTTTTGGGTCTTCCCCTTGGCCTTCTTGGTCTGGCCCTTGGCAGCCTGCTTGGCAGCTGGCTTCTTGGCTGGCAACTTGGTCTTGGCCTTGTTGACCTGGTCCTGGAGCCAGTCCTGGTAGAGCATGGTCCCTCCATGGGAACCCACACAGGTTGCAAGTGGAGAAACCCTGGATCTTCCTCATGAAGATCCAGGACCCACATGGGAAATTGCACAGAGGCTTCGGACTGGCTTGGGACTGGACCTCCTCTGCTGGGTGGCAGTGGAAGCAGCTGGCTTTTTGGCAGCAGTGGAAGCAGCTGGCTTTGTGGCCACCATGGCTGTAGAGGCTGAGACATGGAGCCTGGTTTGGCAACAACAGTGGGCACAGTGGCTGCAGGGATGAAATGCATTTCCAACACATGGTCTGACTATAGCCATTTGGCTGCATGAACCATGGCTAGAAAAAACATGACAGCCACATGGGCTCTGAAACCATGGCAGGACGATAGCCACAGGGGCAAACAACACAACCATTTGCTGTAAATTGAACAGCCACTATAGGCTCTTAAGGTACGCTTTGCAAGTG